CCAGAGGGTACTCGGTCATGGCCACCACACAATATCCGTCGAAGTAATGTTTCAACTTTCAGGATGTAATCAGTATGGCGTAGATCAGTTTCTGAATATGTGGGTACCTGGTCTTGGACTTATTGAGCACCTCACTGACGAAATAAATTGGTCGCTATACCTTGTAGGCGTGGTCGGGCTCATCGCGCTCGACCACCATGGCAGTGGAGACCACTCGATTAGTTGCCGCAATGTAAAGCAGGAGGGTTTCGTCTTCTCTGGGAGCAGTGAGGACCGGAGGTGATGTAAGGAATTGTTTCAGCTGTGTAAAGGCAGCGTCTGCTTCCTCCGACCACTCAAACTTCTCGGATGCTTTGAGCAGCTTGAAAAACGGTAGTCCTTTTTCACCTAATCTTGATATGAAACGACTGAGGGCAGCCATGCATCCGGTAAGCTTCTGAACATCCTTCATCTTTTTGGGTGGCTTCATGTCCAAGACAGCTTTTACCTTCTCTGGGTTAGGGCGTATGCCATCATGACTGACGACGTTGCCGAGCAATATACCAGATGGTATAGGGGTTAATACCCCCACACACAAACAAAACCAAACCTTGTCGCAAATCTCGGCGCGCGAGATGACATGGCCACGAACCCCAAACACACTGCACTTGCGTCGCTGTCCTACATTTGCAAGCTCACACAGTCACACACTCTCTGCTGGTCACATCGCCTGCTCCAGTTCCGTGTGTTCATCCATCTTGGCTGCTGTAAACAATGTTATTCTTGACCTTGACAGGAAATGGAAGGAGACTGAGAGAGCTAGCCGACAAGGAGTTCCGGCATTAGCGCCTCATCCTTGGAAATTTAAACGCTTGTTAACGTCACTGATTGATTGCGTTGATGTATGGTATCCCATGTGTTTTGGTCAGAGTCAGGTTGGAACAGCCAAACAGGATGATGTCGCGGACAGTAGATTCCAGCGTATGTACATACGTACAGCTGTCAGTTGGCAAGCATAGTAACAGACATGCATGCATGTGACGTGCCAGCACAAGGTATCCAACCCATAAGCTTGTGTAGTCTACGTCTACTATTTTGTCGTTGGCAACTTCGCAACGTCGCAGCAGTAGATAAAACATATAAACAAGAATACTCCACTTCCGCTATATTTTGTCGATCATATATGCTGCAAAAGGTTCAGTGGCGCTTCTTTAAGATAACCAACAAACCAGTTCCATAAATTATTGATCCATTTCTGCTGGTTTCGAAAAGCAACAAACGAATTGTGCCTTGCTTGGGTTGTTGCTGCCAACACGGATCGATGATGGGACGAGACAGCCACCTCACCAACGTGTGCTCAAAACTGCATCCAGCATTGGTAGTATGCCCTGCCAGATTGCTGCGGTGCCTGAGGTGCATCTCATTGAAGGTACCTGCTCTTAACAGTACCAACATTTACTCAAGTACCGCATCTTTGTCATGCATATAGTTCACCTGAACATGGGTACACGACAATAACTGCCATGGGGTGTTGCACGCCTGTCATCTCATCTCACTCATTGTAGACACATTGCGCTGGTGATTGTATGTGGCACATAAATGGACGGTGGCACGTAGCAGTGGACGGTAGATTCTCGTCATGCATGGTCGGTGCCTAATTAGCATGGTGGTTGGCGCGCATGCGAGTACGCGTGCGTGCATGCTGCTGGGCCCTTGCTTGCTTTGCGTGTATGCATGAGCTATCTGTTTGTGTGTGTGCATGCGAGTACGCGTGCGTGCATGCTGCTGGGCCCTTGATTGATGACTGATGAGTGAGTTAGATGGCAGTTGCAGTAGCCTACGGCCCATTCGTCTCTCTCTCTATATATATATATATATATAGCAAGGTGGTCAGGTGCACGTTGCTTTCTGCAGGGACTCGTGTCCATCACATCACGTCAGCTCACTCCTATATATGCAGACCATATTACATCTTATTATATTATTTTTTACTATTTCGGTGTATGTGTAAATTCGGCTCGCATTTGGTGTAAATTAGTTATCCGTAACTGAAAATGTATAGAATTACTTCGAATAGGTACCTGTTTATTTTAAGTTCGAACGATTTTTTATGTGTTTAATTTTGATTGAATCTGTATGATTTCTATGTAATCTTGCTTTAGTGCCCTGCTAATGTGCCTTTCATAGACCTTATCTGTCAAATCTGTCTTTTCCCTGTGCTTTCTCCTTTTATTTTTCCCCTAATTTACCTTCTGTAGCCGCCATCTATCTACTTTGTGTTTTTTCCCTATGTTCTTTGGCTTTGGATTTGATCTATTTAGCTTAGTTCATTGCCTGTGGATCTTGTGGTTATGGGAGTCGAGTGATGTAGACCCTTGAATCCCTCGATTTGTTTTGTTTGCTAAAATCAAGTGATTTAGTGTGTCCTGTCACTCGGGTGACAAGAAGGTGTCAATCACCTGAATTATCAATAGACTGCCAAAAAAAACGCAGAAGATGTTGGGACCAAGGTGTGTTATAGATGGCCAAAAGAGCATCTTTTACGTGCTGAAATTAGGCCTTTCCCACGCATCCTTTGCGTGCTGAAAAGCTAAACGTATGGATGGCATACCTGCGGCGGACGCGCACAGGCGGCCCATGCGATGCGGTAACCCGGTCCCTACCTAAAACAGGATCTAGGTTGCGGTATCCATATATTACAAACGTTGATAGACATCCAGCAACATATCTGATTACAAGAATATGTTCTACATACTGGCCCTCATCTGTACGTTGCTCCTCCCCCACTGCATATGGCTCAATAAAATGGCGCGCGTATCGGGCGACCCTTGCGTGATGTCCTTGGAAGCGCTGCACCCTTATTGAGTGAGCAGCTAGATTCAGCGGCGTCCTCCAGCTTGAATGTGCGCTTCGGCAGCCCAGTGTCCTGTGCCGTGTGAGTTGCAGTAACTTGCTGCGCAACAACGATTCAAAGAAATGATCGCTAGGCTTATGACCATAACTGTTTTTTAAAAGAAAAGAAACAGGCACCTACGTGTTTGCACCCGATGGAGCAAAAGTTGTATGAAGTCTTGAGTCTCCGTCTGCAGCCAGCACATGCAGGCATCATGAGGTACCGAGGCTTGGCCCTAGACACGGAGCCTTTATTACCAGACCATTTCTTGAGGTGAACCACTTTATACCCGTTACAGACGTACTGCTGCACCCCAGATATGTCAATGAGACTCGCCACATCTCGTACACGTACCACGTCTCTCGTTGCTTTCTTTAGCACCTGCGCGATGAATTAGGCGATTATTCAGTTAAACATGAGCTACTTAGGGATGGCATAAAGGAAGGCTTAGGGTCGTCTATAAAGGGCGAATCCTAGAACCTGTAGGGTCCGGTGGGATACATGGTCTGCTCGGCAATGTAGGCACAAAGCTTTTTGATATAGTCCTTGGCAATCCAGGCAGATGTAGTTACAGGCTCTGTGGTGCACTGGGCATGGCTGACAAAACTGGTTGCCAACCAACACTGGCATGTGTTCAGCACTTAGCACGGTGCACAATGTTTGTTCTAGAATCTAAAAAGGGAACTCGATTCACAGGATGCATGAACTGTCTGCGCACTGCGGTCCCGAGAATGGCTACTTAATGGATTTGGGTGGCGTTGCTATATTGGACAGACTAGACTGCACCATAAATGTCAGTTGTATGCTAGACAACTTGTACTGTCTCATAAATGTGGACTCAGGAAGGGATTGTGACCTACCCAGGTGGTATACTGGGCAACCTTTGGTGTGCCATAAATGTGCATACATGAGGGGAGTTATGACCTGTCTATCCGTACCTTGTCCTATTTCTTACAGCCGCCTGCATGATGTATTCCTGTTTCTCGTTCCATCTGCCTCATGCAAGTCGTTGTTACCATCGGTTGAAAAAAGTAGCGGAGTAGCTCATAGTTACTTTTTTGCATGCAGAAGAAGACAGTGGTCTATAGTGGCTTTCCTGCATGTAAAGTAATACCTGGTAGTAAATTTATATATAAGGAAACAAGAAACGTGTTGTGTAAATTTCTCCTACTGCAGTAACTATCCTACCTGGGAAGGGCGGCTGATTTTTTGTGTGTGTCCTTTTATGCACGGCCCATCAGCTATTCATACACTTCATTGGATGTGGTTTTTTTTGTCCGTAGGTCCTCTACAGGGACACATTGATCGCATGTGGGGCTTCCTCTCGCCGACCAGGACAGAGGTAGCGTGGCCTATCGATGCAACTGGGTCGTAATTAAAATGCTCGAAATCTCAGCAAGTGGTGTACTCCTCTTGGATTTGGACAGACTGCTAGATTGGTGGCGGGGAGGAGAACAAGGGGGAGATGATTATGATTGTCACCATGCTCCCGAGCGGTGGCGAGCGGTACATGAACTCCGATCTGGTTTGCAGATGTCAGGGATGAATGCAGTGCCATGACCTTCTGATGTCCTGGGCTCTTTGGACGGTTTGCAAGAAGTATGTAGGTTCTGCGTCCGGCATCGATTGGATTGTCAGGTTTCTTGCTTCCACAGTGATTCACTGAGCGTTTGAAAGTTCCTTTTCCCTCTCCAGCTCCCAGTATCAACGTCCACAGATGTAAGGATTCAAAAATTTTATGACTCCTTTCACACAAAGCGCAAGACCAAGTCACCATAACCGAGGCCATGAATAAGGGCCAATTCATGCCTTCAACTGTGTGCAAATTTGGGCGAAGTATAATGAAAGCCAATGTAGGTAACGAAGCTATTCGTTGGAAGATAAAAATGTTGACACGCGAGAAGATCGAGCAGATCAACAAGGATAGTGGACAACCTCCACCAGCTGAGTCAGTCCACGATACCAAGTACAAGTTTCCTGTGTTCGGTAATCACAGCAGGGTAATTCCCGTGATTCCACAAATATACCGCAAGGTCAGCGCACTAGCTTTTATGGAAAGTACATGAATTATTCTAGAGATATGGAGAAGCAATCCTTGCCATGAGGACTGATCAATCACAAGATATTATTAGCCCAGAGGCCAGTTCATTTGCCTGCCTCCAAGGAGATGAACGTGGATGTGGTAAACAGATTGACCTGCAATCAAAGAAACCCACGGGTGGTTAGTAGGGAACAGAAGTTGCCAAACAAGGACCAGAGAGTGGTTTATGGGCATTCAGTCAGTTGCACATACATCCACTTGGGCCGTCGTTGATGACAACCCGATAGCCATCTTCAAGTCCTTCCTGCTTTGCAACAACCTTGGCAACATAGAGGAGGTAGCCAGGTATCTCTACGTGCCTCTCTTCAGCCTATGAAGTGGGAAAATAGGACAAGATGAAATGTATTTCTTTTGGCTTTTGAGGATAACAGATTTTAGACAAGTATACAGTAAAGTATACCTGATGAGCAGTAACCTCTACCTTTGACAGGCCAGTTAGTCCATCCTTGACTTTGGGGATGATGAGGATGTGCGTTGGAGCTTGAGGGTTTATGTCCCTGAAAGCCAGTACCTGGAACCAAAACATCTGATTGATGCACTTCATAGATTACGAATACTCATAATCTGTAGCAGAAAAGAACCACATATTGGGCTGAAGGTTTAGCCATTCGCACAGCAGTAAACAGCAGAATCCAACCAAGCACCCAGTTCGCTCAGAAACTTGCAATTTAGAAATCTATTGCACAGTACCCATCGACAACATAGAGACTCAGATCCCTATACTCCTGTAACAAGATAGCTGACAAGAACAACTACTTGGTAAAAGACCAGGTTCCTTGTTCTCGTTTAAATAAACTAATTTTGTATAGAAGTGATGGAGCTTAAAAAGAATATGCAGATTTGATAATCACAGTTTCCGTTTACATAATATGCTTTCTACATTGAAATGGTAGAAGCTCACCAGTTTCGGCAGCAGCTTAAATACTAAACAAAACAGTGAGACATTGAGCCTTATAAGTTCTAGGCAGCAAGGCTCAGTTGGTCGCCGCCGCCACCGGAAGTGTTCCGTGGTTTACGGCTTTACGCTGAAAAACTACTGTTTGGGAAAACTACTGGCAAGTAGGCATTTGTAGCTGAAAAAACTATTGTTTAGGAAATTGAATTAACTTCTGAGCAAGGGTAGCTTCAGTGCTTCTTGTTTGCTTCTTTTAATATATAGGGCGTCTTGTCAGATGTAGATATGTGCCTCTGCGTTTCTGCTCATGCAAGAAGCTGGACATGGTTATTTGGTTAGTAGCAAACATTGTTGTGCAGGCAAATCATTGAGCACGCGGTGTAAAGCAGGCATAGGTGAGGCATTCGTTGGTAGGAGATGGGATCAAAGAGAGATAAGCAACATGTGCCAGTGTTGGTGGCCTTCTGAATTCCGATTATATAAAAACCAGCTAGAAAATAAAAACATAATATAAGAGACTAATACGACACACTCACCAGTATAGGACTCCATGTTTTTGAATGGGAAGCCAGATAAATTAATTAAACATCTGTACAACTGTGGATGTGATCTAGCAGACTTTGTACGCTTTCAAGTCCAGGCTCAGTGGCTCGCGCTTGTAAGGGGTACCTAGTATGTGTTTTGTCGTGGTGTGGATGAATGCATGTAGCCGGCCAAAAATGCAGTTCACTGTGCACACGTGCGCATGGTGAAATCAGCACAAACTCCTAAAAACTTACCTAGGGTAGGCACCCAAACCTATCTACGGTATGGGACAGCTGAGTTGCACCTACTGCACACTGACACAGACTCCTAAAAGCCTATGTAGGGTAGGAGGCGGTGCCTATAAGGGCCCTCAAGTGACCCTGCCAGTGGACAACAGGTATAACTCGTGTAATCGCAGTCATGCATGCAGCCACTCGGGCCTAACGTGTTCGTACCAATGGACTGCATAGCCATCCAAGCCTGCATGCACACCTTGTTTAGGTTGGACCCACTCTCATTGATGAGGTTGTTGCACCTGGTGGTGGCAGAGGCGCCCATGCCTCATCCAAGCCTCGAGCTCTTCCCTATATACCCATGTGGTGTGCTGCCCGGTGCTTCATCACTTCCTACCGTTGCCTGCAAGTGCCCTCCTTGTAGTTCATATAATTCACCCCTGCAGTAGCTTCTGTTGTTGTTACTAGCCTTTGTTACACTCAAACGACCAGCATAGATACCGTGGCATTTATCGGCCATAGATGATGGCATAGCCAGAGCAGACCACATGGGAAGAACGCCACAGTAGGTCTGTGCTGTGTAACTGTCGTGGTGAAAGATTTTGTAAAATTAACGCCTAACTATGAACGTGGCGAGTGGCTGGACAGACCTTTGAATTTGAGCTAACTTAGTTAACCTATGCATATGAATGTAACAGGCACATTTTGTGCGTATACGCATGTCTTGATCGTGTCCCACCAAGTCATTCCGCTGTGCCTACATGTGTTTAGCGCATGATCTCGGTCCTAGGAAGTGGTGCCTACAGCCTCGTTCGTGCCCTTGCTGTCATACAGCTGACTGCCTGTTCTGTTATTTTCTTTTCCTTTTGTTTGCGGCGGTCCTCTCCTCTCCTAACCTTCGTCTTGTCAGTACGTAATTTTTCTAGTGCTCCGACCGTGTACAGGCACACATTGATGGTACATGGAAGGAGCTCCCTCTAGCCGGCGAAGGAAGAGGCAGCGTGGGGAGAGTGTAGCTTCAATTCCAGGTGTTGATTGTTTACCTTGTGCAGGTTCCTGGGTGTTGATAAAATAGATTCCTGGCTTGGCTGATAGCTTGTGCCATGTGCAGATTGCCTTTCCACTGAGACTTCATATTACGGGCCTCCAGCACATGAGTGCCAGCACTGTGGTGCGCAGTTTTGGTACCAAGAGAGTGTGAAAAGGTCATATCCAGGTGACGCAGCCACTATTCGTTTCCATCTTTGCTGCAAAGGAGGGAAGGTCAGTTTGCCTTTCCAAAAAGACCCTCCTCCATTCTTAGATGGGCTGCTGAATCCAAATGGTGGTGCTCTTTCCAAATATTTTATTAAATCTGTTCGGTCGTACAATTCTATGTTTGCATTCACATCGCTTGGTGCTGAGATTGACACAGGTGTAAACAAGGGACCTGGTCCATATGTGTTTAGGATTAATGGTCAGGTCCACCATAGAATTGGATCTTTGCTGCCAGATGAGGGTGTGTCCCCAGTTTATGCACAGCTTTACATTTTTGACACTGAAAACGAAGTTCAAAATCGAATATCGATTTTTGATAGGCACAGGGAGTCTGACGATGGTAGCCAGGTTGACAAACAGATAGTTGAAGGCTTGGTACGAATGTTTGATGAATCAAATGCACTGGTAAAATCATTTAGGGCAGCTAGGGACTTACTGGTACAGAGCCGGTGCCAGCCGTTACGGCTTAGGCTATTACATGATAGGTCCAAGAACACTTCCCAATATAGTGCGTCGGCAAGGTCTGAGATAGCTGCTTTGATAGTCAGGGACTTCTCTGAGCAAAAAAAGAGCCCAGATATAATCATTCAGGATAGGGGTGGCGGCCTTAAATGAATTAGCAACCTGTACGCAAACTATATGTCACTGCAGTACTCGGTTTTGTTCCCTTATGGGGACCAGGGTTTCAAAATAGGAACCAAGTACAAAAGGTCAGCGACCTTGAGGGTTGGAGCTAGAGGCGAGGTCACAATGCTTGAGTACTATGCTTATAGATTACAGCAACATAGATGTGAGGCAACCACATTGATACGTGGCGACCGATTATTCCAGCAATATATTGTTGACGCATTCGCATCCGTGGAGGGGAATAGGCTTAGGTTTATAGTTAAGAACAATAAGAACATGAGGTCAGAGGTGTACAAGGGCCTCAAGGATGCGCTTCACAAGGGTGATGTTGATGGCGGTGGCATTGGTAAGAAGGTTATTTTGCCTGCTAGCTTTACAGGGAGCAAACGGTATATGGTTCAGAATTACCAGGATGCAATGGCCATCTGCTGATCATATGGGCCTCCAGATATGTTTATTACTTTTACATGTAATCCAAAATGGCAGGAAATAGCTGATGCCCTTACATTTGTTCCAGGTCAAAGGCCTGACGCTAGACCTGATATAGTTAGTCGAGTCTTCAGGCTAAAGATGGACGAGCTTGTTTCTGGGTTGAAGGAAGGCACTTATTTTGGGAAGGCACGTGCAGGTATAGCTAGCAATTTCCATCCTTCATCACTATGTTTCTTATTTGAAAGATAAGCTTCACTAGGCATCTAGTGGATGTTTACTGCACAATGGATTTACTAGGGCAAACCGTTTGAGTAGCTGATTTGTCTAGGTGTTGTCCCATGTGTTATTTCTTTCCATCCAGTTAGGGCCGTCGATGCTAACAACGCCTCATGGAATAGCATATTTGATTGCCTACTATCTTTCTAATCCTGGTACCCCCATTTCCTGTTTCAGTACTCTACACCATCGAGTTCCAAAAGCGTGGCCTGCCCCACGTTCATATTCTGGTTTGGCTTGAAGGTAACACTAAAGACCCTCGTCCTTCTTTTATTGACTCAATAATATGTGCAGAGATACTGGATAAATCATCTGACCCCCTAGGTTATAGTCTTGTCGATGAGTTCATGGTGCATGGCCCTTGTGGTCAACTGAATCAGAATTGCCCATGCATGAAAAACAACAGGTGCTCCAAGTTCTTCCCAAAGGGCACTCAACCAAACACAATTGTTGGTGAGGATGGCTTTGTGCAGTATAGGTGTTGTCCTAACACTGGCCACTTTGTCGAGCGATATGGTGTTAAACTTGATAACGAATGGGTTGTCCCATACAATATGACATTGCTAAAAAGATTTAGAGCACATATAAACGTTGAATGGTGTAATAAAACACACCTTATCAAGTACCTGTTTAAATATATTATGAAAGGGCCAAAACATCAAAAGATATCTGATCCACACTAAAACATGCGTCGCAGCATAAAACGATCCTACCATCAAGCCTGTTTTGTTTCATCATAGGTTTAGGTTGCCATCGCATGATTTTAATAGCTTGATCATGGCCCTCATTTCTTATCTACATTTTGGTCATGAGGAATGACTACTACCCCATTCCATTATGTAAACTAAAGAGGATTAGGAAAAGATTATCTTGATTGGCTTCCAGTACATGAAAGAATGGGTTGGTCTATCACCGTAGCATTCCATATGATACCTTGCCAATCAAAGAGTGATTCATCACAGAAAATGGCAGGATGCTACCAAGGTGGACAAGATCATAATAAGATAAGATCGTTCTCCATATGGTATCAAACAGGACAAAGTAGCTGTGTACTATCATAGAGCAGATGCTCAGCTAATGGATGAGTTTGAGTTTTATCCAAGATCTTATCAACCGCAGCAAACGATCTTCTAAAAACACATACATTGATGCCACGAGTTTACCTATCAAGTCCTCCTAGAATCGACCTGAAACTGCATTTTTGAATGTACTTATCCACTTGCCACCCTTCTGATTTGCAGGATCCTGGGCAATTGAAAACCATTAACCACTAGGCACAGGGACAGGCATACAACACGTAAACAGAGAGAACGGAGAATGACACATCCTGAATAATACCTCCTAGAGGGGACGAATGCCATCCTTGAGGAGATGAAGGTCAGTGGGACTTGGCAGGGAAGAGGAACGCGCAGGGTGGCAGTAGCAAACCTAGAACGATTCGACCTTCAAGTATTTAAAAAAAAGGAAACAGCGGTCAGCTGAACTGAGATTAGAAATCCCCCACAACAACTACAACCACCCGAAAGACATACTATGCTGACATCGATGGGCTTCTTGATGTTGTCTTCCTACGCCTGCGACCTCGCAGTAGGCATCCAGCGCGTGTACCAGAGCACGGTCTTGCGCTGTAGACACATGGCCAAAATTCAGTGAGTCAAAACCCGCTTCTACAGCCTCACCAAGCAATCTACCACGCACAACGGTGATTTGAGGTGCAAAGCATCCAATGAGTTGGGGCGTGAGACAGATCTGCCTGCGGGGGGATCTTACCCTAGGGGGGTAGAGCACGGCCTTGAGGTCACGGTTGCGGCGCTCGGTCTCCTCCGAATCCGCTTCGTCTTCCTTGGCGGCTGCGAGCGCGTCATCCTTACGCGCGTGCGGTACCTGCTCCTCCTCCTGCTCAGTCTCCTTCTTCTCCACCCCCGCCTCCATGGTGCGCCCTTCCACAGCGATTTGGTCGATTGGATGTAGCAGGTTTGGTCAGAACTCTCGACTAGGAAGAAGGCTCACGACGACTGGAGGAGAGGAACGGGAAAGATGCCAAAGAGAGTGTAAGGTCTTGGGTCTTTTTCTCTTTTTCTCTTGGGCCTGCCACGAGGAGCAGCATCCTGGATAAAATTCTTTGCAACAAGATGAGGTTCCGTCAAAATCTTCTTTTGGTTTGCTAAAAAAAAGCCAAATCTTCTCGCCGTACAATGATGTCCGGTCAACATTCTCGAAACGAAAAATAGTAATCTATATTCGCAAAATTTCAAGCAGTATTTTCCTTGGAATAGCCCTGCTCACACAGGTAACCAACCATGGCATGTCATGATCTGAGGTATCAAAGCTCAAATCGTGAATCCAGATATAAAGTGACTACCAAAGTAAAATCACGTGTAGATTTTTAAGGTGAAGTAGTCGTGTGTAGGTAACTAGGTATTATGTTCAAACCTGGAAGGTTCAGCTTCAAAGGACACATTATAGCTTGCAAATCATAACCTGCAAACCCATTGTGTATTTTTCGTTAGAACACAAGAATCTTTTTCCAGAGAAAAATATTTTGTTGCGAGAGCGATACGGTGGTGTAACTTGGCAAAGGTGCTTGGTTAACCACCTCTATACCAGCGCGTGGTGAGCAACGTCGTCATGTGGTAGATGTTCCACAGGGGCCCTCGGTTTCATCGCGGCACCATAGACATTTAAACAGGCAACTTTACCAGCTTACACGTAGTGCAAGTAGTGGGGTCACTG